TTCTCGGTTTTCGATTCTTCCGCTGCTGCGTCTCTCGACTTCATTCCGACCATTATCGCCAATCTTTCAGTAAAAGACGTTCTTTTTGCTTGAGACTCGTCCTTCACCGTTTCTGGCGTGTTGCCTATTGTGTCTTCTACATTGTCTATCGGTGAGAACTCCATGGATTTTGGATTTGAATCTTCTGCATTCGGCATCGGTGTTGAATCCGTCGTCTTCTTTTCCACCTCATCCACACTCTGGTCTGGTTTTTCTAGGTCAATCTCGATGGCGGGTTTTGCTTGTTTCCCTTCCGTGCCCTCTTTTGTTCTGTTCTCTGTATTACTCCTTGTGTTGACCATGCTAACTGAAAAGTTCTTCTTTGTTATCTTTGGGCCCATTGATGTCGTTTTACGAAGCGACGAGTTATATTTTGTCCTTGATTCAGTAGATCTTTTTTCAGCCACCGGTACCCTGCACCGCCTCATTATTTTTATTCACAATTGTTCCTATTTACAGTATTACTATATACAAAATTCTACTCTGAGGTTAAAATCTCTTTTGACAAAATTAATAAAAAGAAATTTACAATTTAATAAAAACAACGTTTCCTAAGCTTTTTTGAAAATTATATATTTTCTTGATCCCCACAGTACCGGATCTTTATGACAAGTCAGAAAATTTAATTTTGCGATTGGTTACTTCAACCTGTCTTAGTACTCTTTAGTACCGTCACCCCCCTTCTTTATACTGTTCCAAGACTTCCTCTCTACTGTTCCAAGACTATTCAGCGCTGTCCCAGTACTTCTTGTTAGTGTCCCAAGACCACTCTCCCAAGACTACTGTCCCAAGACCCTTGCCCTAAGACTACTGTCCCAAGACTAGTGTCCCAAGACCACTGTCCCAAGACTACTGTCCCAAGACTACTGTCCCAAGACTGCTGTCCCACGACTACTGTCCCAAGACTACTGTCCCAAGACCAGTATCCCAAGACCACTGTCCCAAGACCACTGTCCCAAGACCACTATCCCAAGACCACTGTCCCAAGACCAGTGTCCCAAGACCACTGTCCCAAGACCACTGTCCCAAGACCACTGTCCCAAGACCACTGTCCCAAGACCACTGTCCCAAGACCACTCTCCCAAGACTGTGTCGTACCAAGACTGCTCTGGCCCAAGACTGTCCCAAGACTGCACCGTCCCAAGACAGTCCCAAGACTGTACTGTCCCCAGACTGTCCCAAGACTGTACTGCTCCAAGACCGTCCCCAGACTGCAATGTCCCAAGACTTCTTCGGTACTGTCCCAGGACTTGTCACTAAGTGTCGGGATATTAGGATCTCTTCTTCTTCGTTGTGGGGACTTTTCAGAACCACTGTACTGTGTACCACCACTTGAGCTCTAGTAAAAATTTTCCCAAAATCCCTATCTTAATGGCCAAAATCCAAATACTGACCCCCTGTATTTATCTCCCTCTCGTTGTTTCAGGCTATTTGAAACCCCAATTTCTTCGCAGGTATCTTGTGATCACCTGTTCGTTCAAATACCAACAACAAATTTTCACTAAAACGTAAGAACTTAAACAGGAAACATTATAAAAACAGAGAGATGAACCCATCTAAAATTCAAAGCTGACTGATGTCAACCTTTGTCCGAAAAAATGTCTTGTACCCGATTGCCACGCGTTTTCCTCCCCCCTGCTAGCGATCTTATGGGGTATCACAAAAACTGTCTTTGTCCGTTCCCCCTACCGATCCGACCAGGGTACCTACCTTAACTCGATGTTAAATTTGGATATCCGCTTCTTATAACCAACGCGTGTAAGTCTCTAATGTAACTAAATCGACGATGCCGAACAATTAGTTACTCTAATGTGTCCCCCCTTTTTAAAATTTACAACCACCAACCTTTAACCTAACCAGCCCCCCTTCTAACCTCCCCCCTCTTTAGCCCCCCTCTTAAGCCGAAAAATCCCTTAAGCGCCGGGTGCTAAACCTCTCGAGAAAAAACCATAGACCTGTTTCCAGGCCTGCTTGTGTAAAAACTTCCTCAAAACAATGGGGCTCCGCTTATCCAATTTTACACTTATTTCCTATAATGTAATGTGGATTTTAACGATACCCGTTTGTCCAACTTGAGAACAACCCTGTGCGTCCTCCTCTTGTTGTTGCGATCCCGTGCTGGTTGTCCCCTTGACGTGCACTGCACTTGACACCAACACCTCCTTCCCACTTGGCTGGTCACCTCTTCCAGTCAAGTCTCCTAGTGGTCCAGCTCTGTCCTTGTGAACCACTTTCCCACTCGGCCGGTCACCTCTTCAAGTCAAGTCTCCTAGTAGTCCGTCTAGGTTGCAAGCTATCTGAAAACCCTTAACAACGCCCCCCACTTGGGCACCTTATTGAAGTCACTGGTTTAGATTGCTAGATTGATCGAAACGATCGGTCTTATAAAACAGTATGGGTATACTATTTAATTATTATAAAGGTTTGATCCACCTAATCTGGTATCAAAGTCACTGTCATTTTTGTTTTATGGTTTTTGTTCCTTTTTCTATACTTTTTTCTTGTTTTTGTTTCGCTTTTTGTCTTTTTGCTCGTGTTTTTGTCCCCCTAGTTACCCCCTCCCCCCTTACTCGGTTAGCTAAGCCTCGTTCGGAGAGCGTACCAGGAAGTTTTCTCAAGTTTTCTTAAAAAGCAATCACGGTACAACCGGAAGGCTTACATGTTCCCGCTGAACCGTACCACCGGTACTCTAGAATGGGCATGTAGCCCGGAGCTGTGTCAAGTGGGTTCGACTCCGTAGTCTTGATGTCGTAAAAACACCCAGGAGCGCCATAAAAACACTATGTAACAGTCGCCTACTTCGGTCACATATGAGGCTTAAGAAAAATAGGCCCTATAACCATTGGCTCAAGAGTCAGGGACACTATCTCTTGTGTTTTTCTACCTCAAAACGGTCGGAGCCAATTCGGTTCGCTTGCGACATGAGACTAGAACCCGTTACAGCTTAGAGGCCACTACCAAAATATCCCCCCACTCTAGAAAATAAGAACGTCCCCATAACTAGTTCTCAAAATACCCAAAATACACGAACGCCGTTAAAAACCGGGTTGGAACAATCCGTTAAGTTACTTTTTTATTGGACAGTGGAACTTTGATCCATTTCAGATGGATCAACCTAAAACTCGCCTTACCTCAACATAACAATCGTAAAACACACTCGGGAAAATTAAATTAGGTACTTACATAGCAGCACACTCGAGAACTAGAGGTAACTAAATTAGTGAGCAACTTGAGAATGATCGGGGAATTAAGTTTGATTCAATAAGTTCTAATCGAACAAGTTTTATCTCGAGAATGGAGTTTTGGTTCTGGACCATTGGGACACTTCGGCTGTCCACCTTTCCACCGAAGGCTCACTCTGGTTCAGCTAGATTCCGATCTTCTTTTGTAATCACTGTCTCCTATATCAAGATAGGACAGCGCTACTCTCGTGGTTTTTTCTATTATCTTAGAAATTGCGAATAGCAATTTCCCGCTGTTTTTCTGTCACTTTTCCCGCAATTGTCAATTCGGTCGTTCTTTTTTATATTTTATGTTTTCAGTTGTCGCGAGAAAACCGAGCATGACAGGCTCCATTCGAATTTTTGAAAAATAAAACTCCATTCCAAAACCACGTATTTTCGTGTTCCTCAAGGTCAAACTTCCAGATATGACCGACTGGTACAAAGTTTGTGATTCGAATTCAGCCGGGACCTGTTTTTTTTTTGCCAGCTGGAATTGTTGTGTTTTTCGGACTATCGTCCGTCTGTTTATTTTGTCGGCTTAATTTCCGTAGCCCGACTTTTTGGAAGACTCAGCTTTCTTCCAAGTTTGTGACGACGTAGCCGGGAGTTCGATTTCAGTCGGGACCTGTGTTTTGCAAACTGAAAATTTTCGGATATTTAAGATTCTTGTCTCTGCTTTTTTGTCGGCTTAGTTCCCACAGGAAGAATTTTTTTGGCAGTTCGGCTTATTTCATGCATTCCGAACGCTTCTTGTGAAGCTTCTTATAGTGCAGGTGTTTTTGTTCGAGATAAATTTTGGCAGTTTTATCAATTTTTTGAGGGTAGTGGTAGAAATACCAAACTTTCCAAATTTTCCAAATAGTAAAGCTCCTCGCACATTCTATTGCACATTCTACTAAATTCTCCAAATAGTCGCACATTCTACCAAATTTTCGCTCATTCTCCAAATAGTCGCTCATTCTCCAAATAGTCGCACATTCTATTGCACATTCTACCAAATTCTCCAAATCTATCGCACATTCTACCAAATTTTCCAAATAGTCGTAAAGCTCCTCGCACATTCTATTGATGTTTGTGTCATACTGGTGAGAAAGGCTCACTTAGTATTGATTTCTTTCGTTATAGTCCACGCTACCGAAGCTTCCATTCCAATTGTTATTATTATTAATATTATTATAAAGTTTGCTCAAAAAAACTTCTGTGCTTGGGCTGGCCGTCAATTTAAATATACCCTCCTCGATTATAGCACAGATAAAATTGTCTATGATAGATATATTTTTTTAAGTTTTTTGCACCCCCTGAGGCAGAGGAGTGCACTCCTCAGAAGTGCAGATCTTATTTTTGTTCTTTTGAAGTTTATTGTGTCCGAGTATGTTTCGTTCCGTTTTTCGCTTAGTTTCTCTGCTAGTTTCTGGAAGGCTTTTGTAGAGCCTGGTGCTGCACCTGCGGTACACGCAAAAATTAGTCTTGATTTTCACAAATGGTTGCTTGTTTTCCATTCCAATTGTTATTAAATCATGACTACGTTAAAGTCGTTTTTCAAATTTTATCAAAAGGGCGGGCATGAATAAGAGCCAAAATTACTTTAAAAAAGTCAAAAGGAGAACGCAATTTTTTGAATTTCTCAAATTTTTTGTTCATTGCACGTCATAAAAACACGCGAGTATCGTAACTTTAGCTGGTCAGATACTTTCAACATTCTAAATGATGAAACACACGATTGCTTTTTTCAGATTAATTTGTAGATTGTAGAATGCTTGCAGTCAAGACTGGATTTGATCATCTTATTACCCACAACACATACCGATTGAATCTTCCACACAATGTTGCACATACTCACCTTTAGGGCTCGAGCTGACTTGCAGTTAATTGACATATTTAGGTCAGTTGATTTTCTGGTTGATCCAAGAAGAAGCAATTTTGCTCAAACTTTGGAGTTTTTAGCCATGCTATTATAATTAGTGGCAAAAATTGGAACAGACTGAACTAAATAAAAAGAGCAGTTTGCCGATTTTGAGCACTTTTGCTCGCAACTTAGCATTTTATGCGACCTTGAGACATCCTTTCTGACGGAACAAGTAGCTTTTTCATGCAAAATTTCCCAAATAGGTAATTTGCTCTTTTTAATGAATTTTGTGTGTTCCAACTTTTTGGAACTCTCTATAGTAAGGGTGTTGCAACCATGTACTAGACTTTTCCCCTTGAACAACTTTGTTCTCAAAATTCGCACGTGAAAATCTTACACAATTTACTTGTTTAATTATAAATTCATATTCAATCAACCCTCTGGCTTTGAAGTTACGCACCTGCTTGAGACGGCAAAAGTTTGTGATTCGAATTCAGCCGGGACCTGTTTTTTTTTTGCCAGCTGGAATTGTTGTGTTTTTCGGACTATCGTCTGTCTGTTTATTTTGTCGGCTTAATTTCCGTAGCCCGACTTTTTGGAAGACTCAGCTTTCTTCCAAGTTTGTGACGACGTAGCCGGGAGTTCGATTTCAGTCGGGACCTGTGTTTTGCAAACTGAAAATTTTCGGATATTTAAGATTCTTGTCTCTGCTTTTTTATCGGCTTAGTTCCCATAGGAAGAATTTTTTTGGCAGTTCGGCTTCTTTCATGCATTCCGAACGCTTCTTGTGAAGCTTCTTATAGTGCAGGTGTTTTTGTTCGAGATAAATTTTGGCAGTTTTATCAATTTTTTGAGGGCTTTCGATTTTTTTTTTTCATTTCAATTATATTCATTCGTTTTTCTATCGCTAGTGGTATCGCCAATTCAAAAATCATTTATAAGTCTTTTTTTTCCAGACGAAAAAGTTGTTTCACGCTCAACTTTGTTTCGTTTCAACTTCTTTTTTTAGGGTTTGGCCTTTGTTTTTTTCTACCCTTGCGATCAACAAGGTTATTGCAATAGGGTACTAGACTGTTTTTTTTTCCTGTAAATAACTAGAGTTATTAGAAATTTCAATTCTAGTTATCAGGCACAGGACTCATCATTTGATCTTTTGGACTCCTTCGTCTTCTGACATGCTGAATTTCTTGAAAATTAAAATAAAACTACTAGAATTTGAGTAATAATTAGGTAAAGCCCGTTTCAGGTTGTAATTATTTTTTTGAAATTTTTTTTTCGGGTTCGTGGTTTTCGCCCTAGTTTCTGTCTGTTCATTTTCCGTGTTTTAAACGCCATTTTTTTTCTATCTCATAAGATTTTTATTGGCTGATTTTCTAGAGCATTTGTTTTGTTCCAATTTAAACAGTTTTTTACTTTTACGGAAAGTTCAGCAGTTTCTAAATTTACAAAGTCTAATTTTGGGTTATTTTTTTTTAGTTTCTAGTTTTTTTTATGTTTAAACAGCTTCAGTTTATGTTGTATCGGCTCATTCAACTTATTTTGCATAATTTCGAGTGCAAATATTTTCGGATATGATTGTGTGTTTCAGATTGAATGGGTCGTAAAAATTGTAAAAACTTTATGAAACTTTTCATGACAGTTTTGTTTTCGGCTCAAACAGGTTTTGACCCAAAATTTGTTGACGCTCGGTATTTAATTTTCAGTTCTTTTTCAGACAATTCATGAACTTCTTTTTATACAACCATGAAGTTTCTGTAGCTGTATCTTTCAAATATTCAAGTTATTCTTTCGAGTAATTTTTTTTTCAGTTCGGTTTTCAGGTTTTTTTTTGTACGCAAGTGTTGCGAAGCTTTGCTTCGCGCCTGTGTTTAATTTGCTTTTAAGTTCTTATTATAATAAGAAACGGCGTTAAATGATGATGAAATGGAATGCAAGTTGCGGCCTTCTGTGACTGAGTTGAATATGAGGAAAAAAACGTGATCGACATTCCTGCTTAAGTTGATTTTAATTTTAAGATTCAACCAGTTTTTTGTTGCATGGAGTGCATTGATACTTTTTTACACAAGCGAGCAGTTGCGTTAAATGCTTGTTAACTTTTTTCCAACAGAAGTGGCACAAATAAGTACTCAAATTTAGTACTCAATGTAGCTTGCGTTTTATCCGTTTTATAAGAGCGCCGGATATTTACGAAAAGATGATATCATGCTATTTAAGGCAGCTAGGATCGCAAATGTAAAAATCGACTCCAGTTAGGAAGACTTATATTCCATATTCCAGAGGTCGGCGGTTCAAATCACGTAGTTGGCTCACTTTCTTTTTAAAAAAATATCTGCTCTTTTGTTTGCTTCGAAGTACGAGTTTCAGAGAGCGAAAAAGAGAGAGACTTTTATTTAAACATATCCGTTAATTTAGTTGGTTATTAATTAACAAAAATGATGTAATTGTAAATTCAGAAAAGTTTGAGGCGTTAAATCCGCAGCAGTTCAAATTCATCATTAAAAAGTTTAGTTAGCTAATTTAACTGCTAGGACCGAGGTAAAGGGTTTCTTGCAGAAGTTAGAAGGCAAGAATAATTCTTGTCTCAAAACTGAAGAGGCTGAGTGGCAGTATAATGATTTGACTTGAAGCCAGCTTGTTTCTGGGTTGGCCCTAATTGGATGTTGGCGCTAGTTTTGTCGGCTTAGTTGCCGCTTTGTGATTTTTTTGGATCTTTTCCGTTACACGGCCCAAAACAGATATTTTTGACATGTTTAAAAACGGAATTAATTGGGATGAAAACTCCCAAGCCTGATTGGTTGCAAAAGAAAGCAACCGAGAATAAATATGGAAATTGATTTTTATACCAAAGTTCGATTAGCCGAATAATACAGAAATGACAGAAAATATTGTTTTTTAACAAATAACCAACTAAATTTCAAATCGCTGTAGTTCTCCGTTTTCCGCAACGACAACATGACCAAAATTAGATGGAAATTGCTCAAATTTGGTCAGATTCATAGCGGATTTCTCAAAAAAAAAAACTTAAAACGAATGAATATTTTTTGCATTGTGTTTTGTCACAATTATTTTAATTAATAAAAATGTTGACGCACGTTTTTTCAGTTTTGGGTCGAATAACTGAAAAGATCCTATTTTTAACTAATTGCACCAGTCAACTGATTCGAAATATGTCTATAAACTTATTTACTTATGCGGAGCTAATGCTGTGGGTGTAATATTATGAGGCAGCTGTTTTCCTACCGAAGCTGTTTGGCGATTAAAAATGACATGAGCTTATTTGCAGACCGGCAAAATAGCGCAGTGGATGCAGCAAGTGACTCAATGTTTTCAAGATTCAATGTTTCCGTCTCCAATTTCTGCTCGCACCGTTTTCCGCTAATTGTGCCAGTTCTATGAAAAATGTGTTGGTGGTAATTTTTTTTGAAACTTCATCATCGTACATTTTTTTCTTCGATTTTCGAAAGTTTTATCAGTCAATTTTTTCTGTTTACTTGAGTTCATTGACACTTCTACAACTGTTTGTTTGATCTTTTTGTCCTTTTTTGAGCTCCCGTGTTCGAAAAAACCCTAGAATTGAGTTGAATTTATTTCACATATCGGCGAGTTAACATTTTCCTGTGAAAAACTATTAATGCTTTAATGTTTTTTGATCATCAATGATTCCGGTTGAACTAATACCAGTTGCAGGTTGTCATTTGCATAATTTTGTTCTGTCTGACCCGGCGGATGTTGCGTTGTTTTGAAATCAACAATAAAAGTAATTTAGCCTCATTTCAAAAGGCCATGATGGATTGAGATTGTGTGTTGTTTGGTGTTGGTGCCGACTGTTTGTTGACTTCTACACTGAGAAATAAACTTTGAAAAAGAACTGGCGAAAAATAGGAGGACAGTGGCGGAGGAGGTGGTATTATAATATCCAAATGAGTAGTTTCAGTTCATTTCATTTTGACTACTGTCCGGTCTTGTCCTGCGACAACAACTGGAATTGAGGAATTGAATTGAATGGAATGGAATGTGTGCAACCAAAGCCCCCAGTAGTCCAGTCCCAGTCGGGTACTAGTAGTTGACCAGTGTAACAGTAGCAGTAGTATAGTTGGCTGTTAGTTGTTTAATCTCCAATTTTCCATCCCATTTCTGTTCACGCCGCCATATAATATTGAGATATGATTTTGCCCTTCTCTAGTTTGAGGCGCCTCTCTCTCTCTCTCCCTTTTTTCCTCTATTCACCCATCAACTTTACTTTTATTGCCACTAGCTCACCCACATCACATCACAGCCACAACAAACAATAACCACAACAACAACCACACACAACTCAACTGAGCACACACCACAATACAGCAGCCAACCCCAGCCACCCAACCCGCATTCAACATTTCTTTTCTCTTTTCTTTTCATCCATCGCCCCAACTAACAATCGCTTACCAACTTCAACTGAACTCAATCAGCAACCAACCAACCAACCCGCGTGCCTCATCAGCGTCACAACAGGAACAGGACAGGACAGACCCGCTCTAGTCCGCCAACGCCATGCCACGCCACATCACAAAGCAATAATTTATACACCGAGTTAAGCAAATAAATATGGTCACTTCTGAGTTTTATCGACTTCTCCATACCCATCGCAGTCAAATGAGACCAGCCTCAGCCTCAGCAGCAGCACTACAGCAGAGCTAGTCAACAATCTCTAACTCAGTCACTGCTGCCGTGGCAAGGAAACTAGAAGTAGATGGCAATTGACAAGGCGTCTTGTTGCTCCCTCTCTCTCGCTATTTGGTGCTTAAATGACCAATTCGATTGGCTCCCTCCTCAGTCATAAAGTGCAGTAGTCACTATATGGCCCAATTGCTTCTTCAAAACACAACATAACATAACACAGCAGCAGTTTCTATCTATCAAATTGAAAAGTGAAAAAGAAGGACTTTGATCCAAATACCAAGGGCGTTCAGGAGCTCCTATAGCTAGAGCAGTTGAATTCATTTTAATTTACAAACAATTACTTGTATACAGTTGAAGAGACCATTAAAATGAATCCACGCTGCCTTCAAACTCTGAGGTTTGATGTTTAATATACCCCTTTCACCATTCTAAAACTGTTGTCCTAAATATATTTTTTTGTTTTGTAAGTTTCCGTCTTTTATTGAAGGCGAAAAAAATGGAGGTTGAGTTTGAGTTTAACTCATCCTTATATTTAGATCGAATGTTGTAATCGGTTTTAGGAAACATTGTTCAGAAAATTTATAGAAATCTTGATTTCTTTTAAGTTCTTAAAATTCGAATGGAGGTAATCTACCCAGGACAAAAGCTCAAGAATTTTGAATTAGATTCTAGCATCGAGCAGTTTTGAGCGCTTATTTTCAGAGCTAATTCTGGAGTTCAAATATTCTTTTGAGTGACACAATCCTAAGTTTCACTTTTTCGAGTTACAAAGTCAACAATAATTTATCATAAGTATTTCATTTACCAACGCTTTAGCCAAGCAAATAAAATACTGCAGAAGATATAGAATGTCTAAACTCATATAAGAAATTACTGGTTGACTTATGGCCTCGTCTTGTACGTCATTTTTGTTCAGCAGTCTTATTTTCCTCGCAACCTTGAAAATGAACTTAAAAAAAATTTATATCGCATTCTTCCAGATTATCATTTTTAAACTTCGTGATATTCAAACGCGCGCTTTTTCTTTTTTTTACTTGCCATTTTTTTCATAGATTGAGCCAATGTTCCATTCATTTAAATTTTTTTCATAATCATTTCTCCAAGCAACTTCATTATCTAAGAAATATCATCCAAACCAGAGCTTAGACACGAGCGATTGGTAAGTAATGCTGCCGAAGTCGCTTTAGAATGATTTAAATGTGGGTCGACCAAAAATGGATGCCACGAAATAGTATCAAAGACCCTTTGGTTGGCCAGGGGTTAAAATCCGCACCTTGTGGCTTGATTTGTGCTTTCATTTAAAGCTTGATTTCCAATCTAATTACGCTTGCGGCTAGTAAGTTTTATCAAATCGGAGAATAGGTCGCGTGATCAACTTGTTTATCAAAATTACTTAGATAATTTGTTCAAAAACAGATGCCTGTATTTTAAATATACTTTCTTTTCGAAATTTGGTCGATTTGGTCTTTCAGTTTTCAAATGTCAATGAATGTAGTGAGGCCACTTCTGTAGGTCGAAATGGTTTTTGTAGTTTTTAGAATTTTGATTTTTTGTGGTTTGACTTTTGACTTCTTTTAAGTTCAATTTATTTCTTTTCTTAAAATGAAGGCAAACTCCACTTTTGAACAGCAAAAGTATAAAAGTCACAAAAAACATGATTGGCTTCTAGTTTTGAAAGTGGATTTTAATTTTCAGATTTCCCAGCAGAATAAAACTTAACTAATTGATCAATTTTTCTCCAATTGAATTAATTTTTTTATCATAAATTGTTCTTGAAACTTGAAGACCTTTAAAGGTATAATTTTTTCTTTAAAATTCGAAAATTAAGATTTTTCGTCAAACAACCAGATTTTTTGTTCACTAACGTTCCTGTCTGTGGACAATGTTTTCATATAATTTTTTCTGAATATTTGCTTTATTACGTGTAAAAGGTCGAATTTTGATTTTCAAAGTATTTGATAGCGGAGAGTTCTTTGACACCATTTTTTTGGCCCAACTGATATATGCTTAATTATTGCCGTCTTTGTTGCCGCTGCGTAAAGTTTGTTTCGCTGCAAATTCAACACTGGTAGTTGACTTAGTTGGTCTGTTTTCCTCACAATATACTTATACAAATCGTGACTAAGGTATACACTTTTGGTAGTTTTTCCGACATTGTTTCAAAATGATTTTGGGCTAGCTTTTTTTTCTCTGTTTTTTGTGGGCTAGATTGCCCGGGTAACTTTAAGAGCCGATGAACATAGTGAAAACTATATAGGTCGTGATTTTTTTTTCAGTAAAATTTGGCTTTTCGCGTTTTGAAGTTGTCCTTTTTTTGTTGAACTTCCCTACCGAACAGCAAAAGTCTGAAGGTCACGAAAAACGTGATTGATTTCTAATTTCGAATCTGAATTTTTTATTTTTAATAGTAATGAACGTAGCGAAGGCTCTTTTATAGGTCTTGCTGATTTTTTTTCAGGAAAAGTCGCTAATAACTACAGATGCGCATTCATACATCTACAAAAAAATGTTGTCCAATTTGCCTATATTACTATGATTGTCGATAATGCCCGAAATATAGATTTACGTTTATCCTTGTATCACATTACGCAGAAAAAACTACACTAATTTGTAACAAAAACTTGTAGCTTTTAATGACTATAGTCGGAGCATTCTGTTGTATTTGCACAGTAACCAGCTATCCTTATTGTTGTTGTAGAATGTGTTGCTCTGCTGTTTAGAGTGTGAGTGGGCTAGCTAGTAGGCAGCAGCAGCAGCAGCAGTCATGATGGAAGTGGCCATGGCAGGTGCTCCAGGTTATTACGAGCCGAGTAACTTGAGAGGATACAAAAGCAACCACAGACGCAAGCTTACACCGAATGCCAATGCGGCCAACCACAACCACCCCACAGAAACACATATGATGTCATCAGACCCTCCTAGGACTAACAACTTCAATTCCATGCCCCCCAACCCCAACTTCTCATCGCACCCCACTCCTAGCACAGATAAACGGTTACTACTGCACGACCGCATTGTCATCAACGTCAGTGGCCTAATCTTTGAGACTCAGGACTCCACCCTTTTACAGTACCCGGACACCTTACTGGGCAACAGGAACAAAAGGCGCAAGTATTTTGATGCGGCCAGAAACCAATACTTTTTCGACCGGAGTAGACCTTCATTTGACGCTATTTTATACTATTACCAAAGTGGAGGTCGCTTGAAACGACCGGCAAACGTACCGGTGGAAATCTTTCTGGAAGAGATCAGGTTCTACGAGCTAGGAGACGAGGCTATAATGAAGTTTCGCGATGACGAAGGCTTCACACATGAAACAGAGAAGCCGATGCCTAAGAGTGCGACTCTGAAGAGAGTGTGGCTGCTGTTCGAGTATCCAGAGAGCAGCGGACTTGCTAGAATGGTGGCCATTTTATCCGTAACTATAATACTGTTATCAATTGTCATTTTTTGCCTTGAAACGATGCCTGAATTCAAAGCCTACAAAGAACAAGCTCAGTATAACAACCCTTTCTTCATAATCGAGACCATATGCGTCATCTGGTTCACTTTGGAACTCATCTGCAGATTCAGTTCCAGCCCATGCAAATGGGCTTTCGTCAAAGACTTGATGAATGCCTTTGACTTAGTGGCCATCCTTCCCTACTTCGTAGAAAATTTCTCAAAAATTGTGGGAAGCGAACAGGAAAACAGCAAAACCATGTCGCTCGCTATCATCCGAGTTATCAGGCTTGTGCGTGTCTTCAGAATTTTTAAACTATCCCGACATTCGACAGGTTTGCAAATTTTGGGAAGAACATTACGCGCCTCAATGCGGGAATTGGGTTTACTCATTTTCTTTCTGGGAATTGGCGTTGTTGTGTTTTCAAGTGCAGTTTACTTTGCCGAAGTGGACTCAGATGTCTCCAATTTCAGTTCGATTCCGGATGCCTTTTGGTGGGCAGTTGTAACTATGACCACAGTTGGGTATGGAGACATTTTGCCGCGCACCTTTGCGGGAAAACTGGTTGGGTCACTTTGTGCAATAGCTGGTGTGCTGACCATAGCTCTGCCAGTACCTGTGATTGTGTCCAATTTCAACTACTTCTACCACCGGGAGCAAGAAGACGAAGATCCGGATCAGTACAAACACGTATCCAGCGAGCAAACTGTGCCTCCATCTAGCCAACAATTTCCTCCTAATCCAAATGTAGTTCTGTCGCCAGAACAAGCAGAATATGATATGCCTTTAGAACGTTCCCGCAACTCAAATCTATCGCCCAACTTATATCACAATGAGGCGACTCCGTCGTCGCTCAGACAGGTCAATTCCCAATCAGGTGCTAACTTGCTGCTATCCGAACCAAACCAGTCCTCGCCCGGCTCCAAAAGGAAAAGCAGCGCCGGCTCATCCGTGGACTTCCTCCCAGATCCGATGAAAGATCTCACAGCACCCAAAGTGTCCAGCGGCACTGGCCCTGGAGCTTCTTCCACTACAGTCTTGCCGAACTCAACGGGCCAGGGGGGTCGCAAAGTGTCGTGGAATTCGGGTGCGGCGCCTACGATCTCGGGATTAGGGCGGAGGGTGTCTCTAGTTCAGCCAAAAGTATCGCCAGCAACAAATAACGTCGATCCAGGCAGCGCAATCCGAGACCGCGATGCAGGGAAGAGGATAACTAACGCCACCTCAGCTCCTCCGACTAGGACCGAGACTGATGTTTGATATCCTGGTTAAGACGGACCAATATTGAAGAAATTTGAGCCAGCTGCCTTCACACGATTTTCGTTTCCAATAGGGAAGCTCCAGTTAAGGTACGTTGAAGTTGTACTTCTTGTTGCAATATAAAGATACAATTTCACTGCAGTGATTTTAAATCGTGTCAACTTTTTAATAAGGTATTTTTCTTTAGCACCTTTTTTCCAGCGTACTAAACATCATAAAATGTCGAATTATCTTAATCACACGACCTTTAGTTTTTTTGAACTTTGGCAGGTAACGATAAAGATGCACGTTATAAATGATGAATTTGATTTTTATTAATCATTTTAAATAAATCGAGTGAATCCTCTTTTGGCTTAGATCTAGATCGTGCGGAATTTTTACTCGGCGCGGAATTATCGCTTTCCTTAAATTTTTCGAGTTGTCTTTTGTTGCGAGTTTTCACGGTATCCTCGCTTTCCATTTCATATTTCAATTGGTTTCCGTTTCATATTTCATTTGGTTTCAGTTTCATATTACACCTCTCTATTAACGAAGATGGAGAAAGCGTAAGAAATGATCGTCGACGAAGCTGAAAAAACTTTTCTGTAATGTACTTTTGTCTATAAAATGGAACACGGCAGTTTAATTAGTTTCTATAAAAGTTTTTTTAAGTGTCTAGGAACGAAGTGATGAAACTTATTTAGGTCTTGCTGTTTTTTCGGGAAAGTCAAATTCAATATTTCGCGTCTGGCTTAATGTTAAACGGAATTTGAAAATTACCATTTCTCAAATTGAATTAGTTTCATCAAAAAACGTCAATCATAGAGAAATTCTTGAAACTCTTCGTTTCCCTGAAGTTACCCTGGTTTCTCACTTGTCTAGTGGCTTTCATTCGCGTTTATTTTTTCAATTGCGACTAAGAATTGGCGCCAGATTGGTTACTTGACGTTTTTTTCCTGTAAACAACTTGTATATCTAAATCATTTTGAGCCAAAACGTACTGAAAACTGCCAGAGCACTCTGTGCTACTTGAAAAGTGACCGGCTTCTTTTGTTGATTTGACTTATTTTGGAATGTAAATTTTCATGACAACTAATGGTGAGTATGCACGATAGTTTGTATTTTGTTCTTTCTGAAGACTTAACTAAAAACTTTTATATTATAGTGCGAGTAGATGGCCATATTTAAGTTTTACTGCACGCCTGTTTTAACACATCCATTTTTCAACCGAAACTTTGAAAGATTTGATTGTTCGTTGCTCTCGTGATATTACTGACTGGTTGGCTGGCAATGCAAGCATCTAAGTTATGATATGCGAAGAGGGGGGGGGGGGGGGGTTATAATTTTAAAGCTCAAATTAATTGTTCGTGTCACTTGGATATTTTATGTAGTTAAGAAGCCATTAAAAATTCTATAGCAATCCGCGCAAGAATCAGCCAATCGAGAGATATACCCCCCGTCTTTCTCTTTTACATTTAATCTATTCTATGTACGGTGCTTGCCAAGCTCTATCGTGACTTGTGTGATGACTTGTCTGCTGCCAGAGAGATACTAGCACACTTAAGTCTCTTGAACAGTTTAGCTGAGCCGCAGATCTCAAGCATGAAACTTGACTACTGGTGTAGATATTTGTGCCAACTTGTGAGTTTTTTCTCTACGAATCCTCTCGTAATCAAGAAAAATTCGAGCTTTTTGTGCTTGTGCCAACACGAAAAATTAAAAGCACTTGCGAAGCACTTTCTGGTAGAAAAACATTCTATATTCGAAGTTTTCTATATTTTGTCAAGTGTTTTGGCTCATTATAAGAATAACCACTCCGTTCGAGCCAGTCGTTTTTTTCTCGTTTTGCCGAACTTGTTCACGCTGCGTTATAATTTCAACTTGGAATGCCGCCATCCGGCTCTATTCGCCACAGAGACATAGGAGGATTGCATTCTATTTCGAATACAAACGGAGTATTGGATTCAAACACATCCCCTCTAATGAGTTCCTCGCCACAAACCAATCCCCTGATGAGCTACCGACACTTCTGCTACCTGTGTGATCTGCCTCGCATGCCCTGGTCGCTGCTCTACGACTTCACTGAACCCGTGTGTCGAGGCTGCGTGAATTACGAAGGAACCGATCGAATCGAGAGCGTCATAGAAAGCACTCGATTCATGAAGAACCACCTTTACTCGTTGCGCAGAGGAGGAGGAGGAGACCCTTCCAACTTAGAATCATCTTTGGACGGCATCGATAGCCCGTGTGGGCCACCATCTCTCGCAAATGGCGGTGCGACCACCTCTACATATTCGAAGCCTGACTTGCTCAATTCGGTTGCTCTGATGAACAGAAAGCGTCTTCAAACCAACCAAATTCCACCAGCAGTGGTGCACAAAAAGGAACAAACGAGTAGTGGCCTTGGTTTGAGACAACGTGCTGTCAATAACGCCCAAGCCATCAAGGACACGTTGAACGTCTGCTGTCCCTTCCTGATCCGCTACTACAACACGGGAACTCGATGTCTGGCAAAAGTCCTGAGCTTCAGTGCCAGCTCAAGTTTCGGCCTAGTTGTGTTGGTTGAGTATCCTTTGTCGTCCGGTCAGAGGTTCCATTCTTTAGTTGAAGTTGTCCGTGCAATGACTAATGACAATCCAAATATCGAAGCCCTTGTGAAAGGCGCGTATGTTGCGTTCCCAGAACGATTCTTAGAGTATCAGAAAAATCTTGAAGACCCCAATTCGTGGAATCTTCTATCAGCGCTCTTGACTGAAGGTGTGATGTCTTTCCTAGAAACGCCGAACCCATCCCTGCTTCCAACCTCGCTTCAAAATACTTCAAGCAACGCCGTTGTGGATGATTCAAGCCAGGAGTCAAGGCCTTCACCACATCAGATGGCTAACGGCATGGATTTGAGCATACGACCAGCCAAAAAACCCAAAACAACTATTGAGATTCAAAGAAGCAACGCAAAAGTTACGAAGTCTCCGTCGCCTGGGGGCGTTGGAGCCAAGCCGCCATTGACGTCTGGAACCATTGACTTGACAAACAATGTCAGGTCATCTACGTCAACAGCAGTTTGTGGTAAAGACAGTATCCAGACGACGATGAGTGTTTCGAGTAGTTGTAGTGTGAGCAGCAACAACAGCACTCCTTCAGTGGGAACTGTGAGCTCATCGGCAAGCTACAACTGCTTCATCTGCAAATCAGTGCTTGAGGAGAGTCACTTCATACAATGTCCGTCAGTGACTAAGCATCGCTTCTGTTTCCAGTGCACCAGCAAGGTCATCGATCAACAGTTCCATGGCCCCACCGGCACTGGCTCTACAACAGAGGTCCACTGCCCGAGCGGAGAGCACTGCCCAGTGGCGGGATCCACCGTCCCCTGGGCCTTTTTCGAATCAGAAATGACTGCAGTCAAAATAGCTGCTTCTAAAACTGCACAAAACTAATAGCAATTTTAAAGTTTATGTTCTGTCATTCTCTACTCAAAGAATTCTCTACTTAAACTATAAAATAATAAAACAACTTAGAGTTAAGGAAGCTCTTGAAATCTAATTTCCTTTTTCATTGTTTTCAAGGAAATATGGCTTGGGTAATTTTGCCGATATATTTTGGGCTTAGTTACTGCTTCGCAGTTTTTGTTTCGATGATAATTGCACTTATCTTTTTTCCGTAAACGACAACTTAAAAATCTTCAAGATCTAAGTGCAATTACTGTCACGCGCAGGCTGCTGTAATTAGGACAAGGGGCGGATCTAGGATTTTCTCGAGACCCTATTTTAATTTTAAAAATTTAGCTCCGCAGGCAAATGTCGAAAAAAAAAACAGGTAATAAAATCCGTTTTTGGGCACTTTTGCGTTTTTTTTTCGGCGCGCTCTCCCCTTTAAAATTAGGGTTGGTTGGCCTAAATTGGATGTCATAAAATAATACATGGTGTGATGGGGTCTGAATTAGGTGGAGTTCATTTGAGGCAGTATTTAAATTTTTGGGGATTCGTGGTTTTCGTCCTAATTTCCATCGGTTAATTTTCGTGTCTTTAAAAGTCGATGAATGTAGTTGAGGTTCTTTATGTGTCGGGATATTTCGCGGTTTGACTTTTTACTTTAAGTTTACTTCATTTCCTTTGTTAAAAGAAAGGCAAACTGCACTATCTAACAGCAAAAATGGAAAGCTTATTAAAAAGTTTCTAAAGTGGATTTAAATTTTCTGATTTCAAAGAGGAATTAAAGTTTTATCTATTGATCCAGTTGTTTCAAATTGGGTCAATTTTGTCACAAAAGTGTCAATCATAAGTTTTTCTTGAAATTAAAATTTTATAGAGCTGTAAGGCCATTTTTTTCTTTGAAATTCGAATCTTCTCAAAAAAAATAAGTATTTTTTTTCTGTTTAATTGCGTTCTTCGCTCTGTTCCAACTGTCTGTTAGCTATGTTTTACTTAAGAAGAAATACACTTTGGGCTTAGGACGTTTAGTTTATTTATTAGTTTCCCAATGCTTAAGTTTCACTTAAGATTTTTTTTTATTAGTTCTTACTTGAAATTTTGAACCATTTTATTTAATTCTCTGTAGAATACAAATTCATGCTAGAAAGAAGGCAAGTTACGCGATCAAATAACTAGTACCAGTGCCAACAAGTGTGATTGGCATGAATTTTCGAAAATGCGTTTTTTTGATGCGCAGCAGTTTAAAGAAATACCAATTGATCCAGTTTTCTCCAATGGGCTAGTTTTTATAAGAAAAGCGTCAATGTGAATTATTTTAAAATTTAAAAAACGAAGTGATATTCACTGATAGAGTTCTTGATGATTTTTTGTTTGCTTTTTTCAGGAACAATTTCTTGAATGCTCTTATAACTACATAAGAGCATACTTCATATTAGTTTACTGTAGGATCCTTCTTTTTGATCATATCCTTGTAATTGATTAGATTGATTGATCTCCTAAGTTTTTCCAGAAAAAGAAATAAGAGTTCGCTAACACAAAATTTAATCTTTAGTGGGTTGACTTGGTTTTTTTCACGTTCACTTCAATTTCATTTCCGCAACGCAAGGCCGTTTACGCTCTTAAAAAACAAAAATGCCAGAGGAGTGTATCAACTTGAATGATTTTTAGTTTCTTTTTTGTTTTTCTTCAATTTATAGACTTCCCTGCGGGTAAAAAAGTTAACGTATCAATCCCGTTTTTATCAAATTGATATTAATTTATCAAAAATGTTACAATCATAAAAGAGTTCAATACATACTAATGTCAGTATTATCATAAACGTTTGTTTCAGTCGTTAAGACCCTGCCGTTCTAACACAAAGAATAAAATTATTTCTATAACAATCTCAAGGATGGGATAATTGTGAAAAACTATTACACCTACGGAGAGATTACGTAGCACACCGATGATACACAAAAGGTTGATAATTTGTTAATGCCCTTTTTTGAATATTTCATTGCCAGTCGAACTTTTTCAAAATTTTAGTAAAATGGCACTACTGTTTTTCGAACCTAACTCGCAAATAAATGTGCTCATTTGGCAGTACTTTTGCTAATATCACTATCTTTTACCATTGGAAATTTCATGGCATCTGTTCTCTGCTTTAGTTGTGGCTAGTGTTTGCCGATTGTTAAGCGTCCATGGCTGAGAGGGAAGGACACGAGACTCAAAATCCCGAGTTTTTTGCTTCGAATCCGACATGTTGCAACAGTTTTACTAATTCGAGGCGTGTTTCTACTTTTTTTTATTTCACTTTATAGAGCTGCTTTTTTGTCGTTTTCTCGCTAATTTTGCGAAGGACAGCTTCACCTCTTTGTGAAATTTAGCTTCTCGAGCTTTTTGGTCTATAGTTTTTGGGATCAGTTAACGCTTCAAGTTTGCTTTAGGATGCATTCTTTGGATGGTTTACAAACCGCAATTGAGAAATTTCGCAAAAATTCGATTCTAGATTGTTCCATATTATCCAATTAAACTTGAAAATATAGTCTGCTCATATTTATCTTGCATTTAAAAAAGTAACTAAAAACGTTAAATCTTAAAGTACTAAAAATTATAAATGACATTTTCCACTCAAATTTTAACCTGTGTAATCTGCTCATCTTTGCAATTGATATTGCAATTCAATTGAGGTCATTTTTATGATCGAATGCATGTGGTGCGTATTTTGTCTCATTGTTGGTACTGAAACGAGAATGAATAAGTTTTAGTTTAATGTCAACAGTAGTAAAGCGATTTTTTAACAAATGCATCCAACATTACTTCTAATCAATATTTAAGTCACGAAAATAATAAAATTTAGTGTATATTTAGTGATGTAAAATGAAAAGCTTCAAATTTTTTTCGTTTGCAGCTGGAACTAGTCTGACTAAAAAAGGGCCGGACAAAATTAAATCTCGAGTTTTCGGTTTCTAACCTGTTTTTGAATGTTTTGAAGCAATTCCAACGAGGATAGCTGGTTGGTGTAATGCAGTTTTCTGGCTTTTGTTTTTCTGAATGCCGTTTTTTGCTGATCATTTTTCAAATTATTTTGATAGAATTCTAGAAAATACTGTTATACGAGAAAACAAGACTGCTCGTATCAGGGCAAAGCCCTGATTGTTCCGACTGTCCTTCAATTGGTATCGAATAGTTTTTGGTAAATTAAGTATTGGCAAAACTATGAACTTTAGGCTGATATTATTTTAGTGTTACAAGAGGACACATACTTAAGATCATGGATTACTATTTTTTTGGTGTCCAATTAATCGTCGTTCGTTTTCTAATGGAGGCTGAAGTAAAATTTGAGCTTTCATATTTTTGCCAGACTATGAACTTTAGGCTGATATTATTTTAGTGTTACAAGAGGACACATACTTAAGATCATGGATTACTATTTTTTTGGTGTCCAATTAATCGTCGTTCGTTTTCTAATGGAGGCTGAAGTAAAGTTTGAGCTTTCATATTTTTGCCAGACTATGAACTTTAGGCTGATATTATTTTAGTGTTACAAGAGGACACATACTTAAGATCATGGATTACTATTTTTTTGGTGTCCAATTAATCGTCGTTCGTTTTCTAATGGAGGCTGAAGTAAAATTTGAGCTTTCATATTTTTGCCAGACTATGAACTTTAGGCTGATATTATTTTAGTGTTACAAGAGGACACATACTTAAGATCATGGATTACTATTTTTTTGGTGTCCAATTAATCGTCGTTCGTTTTCTAATGGAGGCTGAAGTAAAATTTGAGCTTTCATATTTTTGCCAGACTATGAACTTTAGGCTGATATTATTTTAGTGTTACAAGAGGACACATACTTAAGATCATGGATTACTATTTTTTTGGTGTCCAATTAATCGTCGTTCGTTTTCTAATGGAGGCTGAAGTAAAATTTGAGCTTTCATATTTTTGCCAGACTATGAACTTTAGGCTGATATTATTTTAGTGTTACAAGAGGACACATACTTAAGATCATGGATTACTATTTTTTTGGTGTCCAATTAATCGTCGTTCGTTTTCTAATGGAGGCTGAAGTAAAATTTGAGCTTTCATATTTTTGCCAGACTATGAACTTTAGGCTGATATTATTTTAGTGTTACAAGAGGACACATACTTAAGATCATGGATTACTATTTTTTTGGTGTCCAATTAATCGTCGTTCGTTTTCTAATGGAGGCTGAAGTAAAATTTGAGCTTTCATATTTTTGCCAGACTATGAACTTTAGGCTGATATTATTTTAGTGTTACAAGAGGACACATACTTAAGATCATGGATTACTATTTTTTTGGTGTCCAATTAATCGTCGTTCGTTTTCTAATGGAGGCTGAAGTAAAATTTGAGCTTTCATATTTTTGCCAGACTATGAACTTTAGGCTGATATTATTTTAGTGTTACAAGAGGACACATACTTAAGATCATGGATTACTATTTTTTTGGTGTCCAATTAATCGTCGTTCGTTTTCTAATGGAGGCTGAAGTAAAATTTGAGCTTTCATATTTTTGCCAGACTATGAACTTTAGGCTGATATTATTTTAGTGTTACAAGAGGACACATACTTAAGATCATGGATTACTATTTTTTTGGTGTCCAATTAATCGTCGTTCGTTTTCTAATGGAGGCTGAAGTAAAATTTGAGCTTTCATATTTTTGCCAGACTATGAACTTTAGGCTGATATTATTTTAGTGTTACAAGAGGACACATACTTAAGATCATGGATTACTATTTTTTTGGTGTCCAATTAATCGTCGTTCGTTTTCTAATGGAGGCTGAAGTAAAATTTGAGCTTTCATATTTTTGTCAGTTTATTGCTAAAATTTTCATCTGTTAATGTTTCTTCTAATCATCTGCATAGCAAGTGTAGAAATCATTAAATCCTATTTCTCACATTCGCCCACTAAAAATAATTGCCGATATTTGAAATTTGTTGTTCATGACTGGCGCATCAAAGATGTGTATTACGCAAATATTCAGTGCCTTTGATTTAGCCGTTAGCACGGAGTAGGATAACGAAAACACACCAACATACACACAAGAGGCTTTTGATATATATAGAGTTGTGTTCAGAGCACGTATGAGAAATCTAGGATCGTTGGCCAAAGCTGGTTATCCTAATTAAGAAAGCGCCCTCCCCCTAATTGGGCCGTTGAGTAAGACCTTCTGGTGAAGTATGTTTTCCAATTTTCTGAAGTTGAACTACTGTTTTCGTTTTACTGACATGCCAGACACATCTGTATAGTAAACTGGTTGGCTGTGCGATTTGTCCTACCATGACCTGTCCTGTCCATTCAGGTCATTTAGTAGATGATTGTGAAGTAGCAACTTGTACCCAATCATATTCATTAACTAAGGGGCGAGGCAGTGCAATTGTGACCATAGCTGCATGCAGATTACTATGTGTGCAATGTAAGATTGCATGATTGTTGGCACTGAAAGGCAACGACTGTTTCTATGCCGCCGCCGCTGCTGCTGTGGGGTTAAAAACTGAATTGGCACAGTTTATTGGATTGAGTCGAAATGGCAGATGAGAGGAGGAAATAAAGCAAAATAGCCGCAAAGAACTGCTCTCTTTATTTGCCAAATTGACGTCATCATGATTAGCACCTCCGCCATCCAGTGAATTCATCTATCTCCACTCTCAGCCATCATCACACAACACACCTCTCTTATGTGTTGTGGTATGTTGTGTTGTGTTGGTGTGTTAGTTTATCTTTACTGACATTATCCCGTAGTTCAGACCATATCAACTCAGACTTGATTTGAAGCACTATACTCCACACAGAATGACCGGATTGCAGAAAATCCCCCCCCCCCCCCCCAATCAAAAAAGCCTTCAAACAGATCAAAACTCTTCACTGAGCTGTTCAATTTTTCTATCACAGTGTTTGAATACTGAATGATGATTGGCTAATTCAACCGTATGCCATTTGCCCTTAATGTGCTCTTCAGTCTTCAGTTGGTTCTCTGCTAGTTTGCATTCCCCCGCTTCCGCCAACTTCTCTCTGGGGTCGATAGGGACAAAGACAAAGAGAAGAGAACAGAAGAATTAGAAGAAGAAACTGGCAATAGCAGCCAATTTTCATACTCTGCTCTGCTCATTTTAGATCTTGTCTTGTCTCTCTTCTCTCTCAAGACTAGAGGTGCGACGGCGGGCGACGCAGATGGAAATAGGATGCGTAGAGGATTTCTTTTTGATTTGAATTTTATCACGCTTGCCACAAAGGCACAGCTTAATGTGAACAAAGCGCGACGCGGCCGAATTATCTGAGAAGAATTTTTCAACCTCTGTTTGATATGGCTAATATATGCATGTCTTGCTCCGTCATCCAAACATTTGAACGAATACCAGCCAGCCACAAAATATGACCCAGTGAATCTTTTTCAAATTCAATAGCATTTTTCGATCTAAATACGAATTGGACGTACTACAGTGGTGTGCGCAAGATTTTTTTTTGTTGTGGGTTGGTTGAAAACTTTGGTCGACTTTGTTTTAGGTCAGCCTTTTTGAATTGATTATGCTTCGCTGAAGCCCTAGAATGACCAAAACGTCCCATTTTTAGTTGAGCTTCCTCCTCAAATTTAGAATATATTGGCGCCGAATAGGTCTTTAGTTTTTCTGAGTTTTTTGGCTTTTAACGGACATTTTTTTTTGAATCGTAGTTATGCTATCAAAGCAACGTAAAATGTTTCCAAATTTCATGGATTGAATAGCTTGCTGTCAGAGCTTGTTCCTTTCAATATCTCAGCTAAGTATCTTTAATATTCCAGCTGACTAGATGCAGCAATAATCATGATTAATTTTTTTACGCCTGATATCTATGAATCAATTATGTGTGACAAGTTTGCTAACCTTCGAGAAGTTGACTCAACTGCAACTCTGCCATTCTGTCATGTCAAAACTAGAATTTTGAAATACAAACAATTGATTTGCAGATTGAGATAAGGACTTCGCAAGCACACAGCAATCCATATCTTGAACTCCTGATTGACGAATGAAAACTCTCCTATGTAAATTGACCTTTCGTGTTTTCTAAATAGAAAGAGTCATTTTAATTAGGAATAACCCTTGTAAAAATAGCTTAATCAGATGGAAATTATTATGTTATAAATGGCGTGATATATCCGAAGTGGCGTGATGCTCTATCTTATCAAATTATGAAATGTTATATAATCTGATTTACTGAGAGCAATAGAAATACTAACCAGAATCACGTAGAGAGTTGATTTTTACAGAAAATGTCTTCCTTTTCTTATAAGCAGGCTTCTCTAGAAGACCAAAACCACGCATTCTGAAATCTCAAAAGCAGCTGCAGGTCTTTAATTGAGATGCAAAAGCTGTAGTTATGAGACCGTAAATCTATTGTATAACAATATGTGTATTTGTTGTCTAGATGATGATGCCATTAGCTAAGTGGCGAAAACACAAGGCTGCAGATCTAATTTCGAATCCTGTTGTACAGAGGTGTTTAAATTTAAAATCGATGTTAAAATAGAAAAATCACGGTTTTTAACATATAAAGCCCGAGGTTTTTTTTTAATCTTAAGGTAATTTTTAAAATGTATTTATTTTTTATATACTTTTTTTGGCCGCTTAGAATTGCATTTAATGTGGATTACTACTCTATTTTAAACGGGGTTTTCTACTTTTCTACCCTCAGTCGAAGCTGCTATTTGGAAGCTCAAGCGAAATAGATCTCTTACTTTTTTGCTGTTTGTTTTTGCTTGTTTGCAAAGTATAACATAACCTCGCCGGTGTGTAGAAATAAGTTTCTAAACTGAAACTGAAGGTTCTCAACTTGTTTAAATTAGAATAGTTATCTACATTACATGTAATCCTGAACTTTTGCGTGAACTGCATTGGCGTTTTTTTAGAAAGAGCGGGAGAGTGGAGATATAAAGTAGCAGCAGCTGCAGGCAGCTCAACTGTCAATCACTCGCACCAGTCAGTCAGTCCTTAGTTGACATTCTTCTAACATGACCTTCTATACATCTGCCGCCGTCACTGGGCTTCGAAATTGTGGGTCGCGATTGGCTTTGTACATTTCAAGCCAAGCTCTTGGTTTGCACCCTGCGCCGGTGGTAGATGGAGGAGATACTCACATCCTCGGTGAGTAATTATTGCACTATAGTTGATTTTTGAGCTATTTTGCGTCAATTTATGATGCTTTTTTGCCCATTACAAAACAAAAAACTTTGCATCTGCAAAAACACAGAACAACACGTGAATTTTTCCAGAAATTTTCAAAAATGCACATGATTTTTTAAACAATTTTGTTCCGACCATTGCATTGAAAATCGGGAGGAACTTTGTATTCGGATGAGTTTCAGTTTTTTTAAGTTTTCCACGCAAAATCGGGTACCACAAATAATCATCGGAATGGGTCGAGTGATATATCACATTAAAGCCCTTTCAGTTGTGATTCGAACTACATTAAAACAATTTTCAAACAGGTGTCTCAGTGTCAAGAAAAATCGGTTTAAACCGGCTATCCTCCTATGTTTCGCCAATGTTGCAGGGAGCTAAAACAAAAAAATTCAAGATAATATTGTTTTAGCTTTGTATTGTTTTAAGCTCCATATTTTCATTTAACCAAGGGGTTGACGTCGAATTTCCACGTTACGACAATTTATCATCGAATTGGTTGACTACACTAGCGTCAGCTTAGTGAATTAATAAGAACCTTCTTTTTTTTCTAACTTCAGTCGCAATTATTGGTGACACTTTCGGGGCACCTTTACAGCTTTTTGATAGCTTGTGCTTTAACATTCGAATAGTGATAAGTTAACACAGTTGATTCATTTTTCAGAGTAATGAACGTAGTGAGGACTCTTATATAGGTCTGATGTTTTTTTTAGGAAAAAGTATTAAAATGATGATGCACTTAGGAATATATGCACTTTTTGAGCTCAATTGAATTTCATCTGCTGAAAGTGACGTAAATAGCACTCTCCAATTACGAACGTGCAAATGGCGCAAAAATTCGCCAACAATTTCTAGTTTCGAAAGTGGAATTTATTTTATAGATTTCCAGCGTAATCAAAACTTTACTGTTGATCCAGTTTTCTCAAATTGGGTTAATGTTATCAAAAAAGCACCAATCAGAAATCGTTCTGGAAACTCGAAGAGCTTAAAGGTCATCTATTTTATTCTTTCAAATTCGAAAGTTGAGATTTTTTCAACGCGCTCATTACTCTTTTCCAATCTTCGATTGGCCATGTTAAGTTCGTCAAATGAGCCGAAAAAAGCTATTTGTTTCAAACAAAATAACAACAGTAAAAACTCGATTTCAGAAATTTTCTATCTCAATAGATCTTGCAATTTTTTAAAAATTCATAATGAGGTTTTATGCTTTCCAGTTTGTTACATGCAAAGTTAGTGTGGATGCCTTCAGTTTGCTATATCCCAAATTATTACTTGCAAAATTGTGTCTATTTGAATTTGGTGCCACTTTTGCTGAATTGTATTGGCAATTTATTAGCATGGTAGCTGCTTTATTCGTGACTAGTGTTTGTCGGTGGTTAAGCGTGCGTGGCTGAGTGGTTAATGCGTGAGACTCAAATTATCTAGATTGCAGTAGGCTTAGATCGAATCCTAGACCTAGCCCAATTTTTACTAATTCGAAGCTTATTTCTATTGTTTCTTCGTGCAATTTCTAGAGCTGCTTTTTGTCGTGTTCTAGTGTTTGCGAAGCAATGCTTCTATTCTGTGTACCATTTAATCTGTAGCAATTTTTTAAATGAACGATGCACTCAATGCTTCGAAAACTCAATAAGTATAATTTTATAATACTCCTTGAACGCAACATTAGCATAAAGATGTTTAAATGGAAGTTATACTGGAAGTGCTAGGGATCTCAAGTTTTGCTGTCGAAAACCAGCACCGATGTTTTCCTGAGTTGAGGAGGTTCTGATTGAAACCGATGAAAATAGTATTGCTCTTCAACGTTTTCAATCGTCTCAAAATTTGGCATGTTGAACAGAAGAAATACGTGAGCTCTGAGCTCCATACATAACGTTTCTTAAGGATTACAAATCTTGACTAGATACTCACCCCTGCTGGAGAAACATGATTAAGAAAAGGCGTCAGAAAAGACAACGCACTGTTTCTATCGTTTTGGAGTTTTCGTAAGTCTTACAGCCGAGGATGAGATAGTGGATGCAATACCTTCGGTTTTTATTACTCCTTACCTGGTACCAATACGGTTGGTTTTTATTTCTCCTTACCTGTACCAATATCATAGGGTAGATTCGCTGTTTTTCGAAACAATTGCTTGTCTGCAATGTTCAACCCATTCTGCAATGTTTCGTTAACGGCTTTTTCGGGTCAGTATGAGCATGCAACTTACTTTCTTGGCCTGTTAATGTTTGGTCAGCAAAACTTTTGATTTTATTGATCATCGAAGGCGCCAACTATCGATTTATTTGGGTTTACTGAGTCTGGTTTCAGTATTACAAATTTTGTCATAGTGTTATGCCACCATGTCGTTTCTTTTTTCGGGTCTGTAAATACTGCAGGTATGATGTTGTCTCGAAAACTTATCACAACTCCATTTTTGGATACTCGTCGGTCATCGAAAAAAGATGATATAGGAGTTTTGGTTATGGTGCTCGACGCCACCGATTCTTCTTTGAACGTCTCCAAAGACTTCCTCGGAGAATTTTCTCAGATTTTCAGAAGCTTCGCCGATATATAATTTTAGGAACTTTCCGTTGGCCTTCAAGAGTTTCAATCAAACGAATTGCAGACTGGAATATATATATATATATATATATATATATATATATATATATATATATATAAAACATGCTTTTCAAGTTCTGCAGTTTTTTGTATTTTTGAAGATTTTGATTCCAAAAAGCGCTAAAATACTCAAAGTAAACTAACGTTACTTATATAAAACTAAGTTTATTACGTTTTAAATTAAGCTATTGTAAGCTTTCAAGCAGTTAAAGTAAGACTGCTTGCTCGCTTTGTTCGCTCGAAATAAGGCGAAAAGTCAAAAATTTCTAACCGGATTGATAAATCATTCAACCCAGTCCGATGATTATTTGTGGTACCTGATTTTGCGTGGAAAACAAAAAGAAAACAAACAATTGCCTCTTACTGTGCAAATTGCACAGAATTTTCCGACCATAGACTTTAAAAAACTACGGTTTAGAAAGTTTTTTTTTCCAAATTAGTGTTGTTTTTTTCTGCTTGGTGTGATGAAAGGACCTGAGGTAAGACTATAATTTAACTATTTTATACAGTCATAGTACTATAGGCAAATTGGACATCAATTTCTTAGAAAAGTGACTAAAAACCTGAAAAAAAATAAATAAAAATTAAGTTGTGAGGGCTCTTATATGATAAATAACTCAACCCAGTTCGATGATAATTTGTGGTACCTGTTTTTGCGTGGAAAACAAAAAAGAAAAAACTAAAACACACCCGAATACAAAGTTCCTCCCCATTTCATTGGTCGGATCAAAAAGCATAACAAATGAAACTTTATGAATAAAAAAATTGTTGAATACCTGCCAATTCGCAATTCATTGAAATTTGTCGTGCAAAAATTTGAACGTGGGTAATCTTTTCAATTTTCACTATGCGTACTGGTAGCGTTTCAAAGAGCCGAATACCCGGATAGCCGAAAAAGTTTGTTCCCGGATAGCCGAAACATAAATTCGTTCCCGAAGAGCCGAAAAAAAGTTCGTTCCCTGATAGCCGAAAAAGCAATTTGTTCCCGGATAGCCGAAAAAGTAAATTTGCGCATAGCCATGAAACAATTGTTCATATTACTCAACTGGATTTTTACGTTGAATATTAAAATAACAATTTTATTAAGTTATAGCAAAGCAGAAACAACCGAAGCACCAGACGAGTAGTCCTGTATATTACGAGTTCTTTTTTGAACAGACAGTTTGAGTGCTGTTATTTTACCATTCAATCTTTGTAATTTTTTCAATTGTCTCTGGGGGTCTTGACCCTATTCGAACATTTTTTTTCTTGTTACGCAAACATTCTTCAGGTTCCATTTACCTAATTATGAGCCAATCGAACATTGTCTTTCTGAATTTTTGTTAAACGATTGTTCTAGCCCTCACAGCAGTTTGTGGTTGGCTCTCTATCGAAAACATTCCAGAACTTGGTCAGAAAAAAATGCAGTCGAATCTTTTCAAAGTATTCTGTAAGTTTTTGCAATTGTGGATATCGAGTTTTCAAAACCAGAACATTGGGCGAGTTCACAAACGTTCAATAACAATTTCGAGCTAAAGCTTCTGGCAGAAATGCGAGGGCAAAAAATTGTTTCTTGACTTTTTAAACTTTGATTTAATCTGTAAGCAGTTATTAGGCCCAGTGAACTCACTTTTTGATAAGTGCTGCGTAAAATGAAAATAGCAACCAATAGGACGACTTTCTGGGAAAATTTCTGCTATGGCTGCTTTGAATCAACTTTCCTAGTCGGATAAATCATTATCTGATTTGAAAACTTTGTAAATTTTTTCTCAGATAATTTTAAGCATAATTTGTAATGGTCGCTTGTCTTCCCAGTAAGAAGAGCAAACACTAGCGGAATCTTGCAGTTTTTAAAATCACCAAAAATTATATAAATATTCAAGTACGGGTCTGGCGCAGTCCTGACTGTTCCCTCGCACAAAATAATTTCACATGAAGTTAGCCGTTCCATTAAATTTTTCGCCGAAAAGTTATCACGCCTTTTTTCGTATCATTTGAAAGCAATAATCGTTTTCCGAAGAAGTTTGTCCATTCTGGTGGAGTTTTGACAGCCTCAATGCTCTGTGGAATAGCGGACAATAGTTGTTTTCGAGCGTGAGAAAGAAATGATGGCAAACTATTGAATGGAACTAAGGTGGTGAAATGATCCGGGTTAAATCTGAACTTAATGTTATACGGGTTTTGCCGGAACAAATAAAGTAAATATTCTCATTAGTTGATTTGTTTTTCCGGAAAAGACAGCCGTCTATTACTTTATTTTGACGGCTAGGATGTGAGCTAGGTTGAAAGTAAAATTAATATCAGTTATATAGGAAAAGGAATTAATAATATTATTGGAAATGTTATTTTCGGAAATATTGCTCTTTGTAATTTTATTTGAGGGTTATCAATACCAATTCGTTCAATTAGTTGATCTGCTTTTGCTTTTCGGTATCTAATCTGTTTTTATTTTAAATACTGTGATCCAATTCACTTGCATTATTTTAGGTACATGCGTAACAAATAAAATTAGAAAAATTCATGCGTTAAAAAGTAGTCGCACATTTAAAAAGTAGTCGAACCAATCAAATCTCATTAAATTATTTGCAATTTTGTTGGCTACTGGTCTGCAAAAATTTAGGGATTTTTAATGGCCAATCAAATTTTATGACAACTTACTTCCATTAATTTAGTTAAAACCGGAGATACTTAGTTTTTTGGCTATCTGGGAATGCGGCTCCGTGGGTACGCACCTGCCTACTTTGAAACCAAAAATTTAAGTCTACTTAGAAACCGAAACAGAAATTGTTAAAAAAGGCAATTTTGCTGTTAATAATTTTGCATGCAACCGACTAGATAACGTTTTTGAGTGAATAATACGAACAAACAATGCAGTAAAAAAAATTACTGGAAATGTAATTTTGGTTCTATTGGACGCAAGAAAAAAATCACTAAAACAATCGAATTTGAAAATAAGTGCTTTGTAAACGTATGAACTTTCTTATCGTGTTTTCTGAGAAATGTAATTCATCTTCAATCGACTGAATTGGCAGTCTTCGACGCCGAAAGAAAGGACTGCTTAAACAACCTGATCGATGATTTTTTCTAACCATTGCGCCGTGTGGGTACAAAAAATATGTCATTTGTTAATTAAATACATAGCTGACCGGCACTATAAGTACTGTTTTTTCTCGACACCGTGTGGATTTTTTGGCCGCCGTGTTGTTGTTTTTTTTTCAGTTCGAAGAAACAGTTCGAATCATGAATTCTGCAGTCTTTAATGAACGTGGCTTAGCGGGGGAAAAGCACCCAAACTTGTAGTTTGTCTCAACTGCAAAATGTTTGCGACATAATTTTGTTGTTTGGATACCTGGTAAACAGAAAAGGCTCGATTAATTGAGAGTATTGAGACCTAGAATTCGTCATGGGGATGAAACTCGTGAATTCATTTCTAATGCAGATTATAGCTTGAATAGTTTCGCAAAAAAATAAGTTGACCTTACTGAGCGTTTCATCACTTGAAAAGCTTAATTTTTTACTGATTTGGTTCAAGCTATTGAAAAAATTCGATGGATTTGGGTGCAGTATCTAAAGGGCTTAATGAATCCGTGTAAAATTTAAATGTATTCTTAATTTCATCGCTTTAAAAGCTTGCCTGAAAAAATTCGAATTAACTTCAGAGGTTTGTCGTTTGAAAACATTAATTTTTTGATTTTGTATTGAATCGATTCGAGCTATTTGCTTAAACCTGAACTTGCGACAAGCTATGAAATTTGCATTGAAAATAATTTACATCACTAAAACTTGAATTTGGTATAAATTTTGTTTAAGTTTGGTCGACAGTTTGAATTGATTAAAATCGATTCACGTCTGATTAGGTACCTTAATTTAAGTTTAAAAAAATAGTTCTGAATAGCATTTCAATTCGTGGCTTTGACGATTTCCAATTGATATAGCTCAATAGGTATTTGAGACCTGTTTATAACCACTTGAGCTACTTTTTATTGTAAACTATGCGCCGGATTCTCCAACAAACGCGGAGAACCAAAAACCACATTATGAAAACTGAAAAATAGAGTCTGAGTGAAAAAATGGCCACAAAAGTCGCATATAAAACTAGCGTTTTCCTGTTTTGTTTGAAGAAAATGTGCAATTGCATATAAAAAAATTGGAATATTGTAGGTTTTTTTGGACCAAATAGAGGTCAAAGAGTTCATCCAAAGTTAAAGCTAGTTTAATAAGCTAAAGTTAAAGAGGTTTGTTTCTTTTTTCAAAAACTTTTCTCGGCATTTATATAAAAGAATTCAGTCGACCAATTGATTGCGACTTATATACATTTAAACATCTGCTCGCGTTTGAAAACGTCTTTTATAGTGTTTTGCAGTTGCTTGGGGGGGGGGGGGGGGGTGGGGGGAGGTAGCCCAAGTGTTCATAACGGGGGAGATTACTCAATTGATACAAGCTTTTAATGCTTAAGCGCAGTATTTCACGCTTCTGTTTCTCAATTAGATCGGATATTTTTCGACTGATGAAAATGGTCCAACGAAAGGCAATGCTGGAATTTCCTGGCAAATTTTGGCTATTAGGTTCGGGTGTGTTACTGGCGGCCCTGGCAATGTAAAAAAAGTTTGCGATCAGCGCATGCTCAAAGAGAGCGGACTTTACTCTGCATTTTGCTATGTTTCAGGAAGATCATCAGAGCATAAATCAGGTACAGGACCTCACAGCTGAGAAGGGAGGAATCCTAATTGGGTATCGTGTGGCAATTGCAGAAACAGGAAATATCTGGGCGCCAGCCGTCAATTCTCGAGTATGCGATTTGGCCCTAGTGTTGAGCGCATCAAACTAGTCGGTGTCTCTTAACAGTGGGAAAAATCTGCAGAGGTGCAATTATCATTATCTTGCCTTTTATAACTTAACTGCTTGCTTCTGCACTTGCTGAACTGCTTGCTTCTAAACTTGCTAATTAGTGAAATAGGCGAATCACGCTTAAAAAGGAACGAATGATGGAACATGATTTTCGCTGTTCAGAATTGACAAGTCGAATCAAGAACTAATTTAACCGAGTGAACGACAGCTCTTGGAAATTTAAAGTAATAATAAATTTAAAACTATATAATTTAAATAGGAAAAAGTTAGCTTTCTTTAGAAAATACATTGGTCGGAACTCTCTGTGCCATTTACAAAGGAATCGGCTACACTTGTTATTGTTTTGCTTTATTTATTATTTGTGACATTGGCTTTCATTGAGCTCCGACCAACTGTTCATTTGCTTGAAAGTCACTATTGAATCAAAATGTTCAGTCATTCGGACCTTCTAGTAACATTCTCTAATCTCGACTCAGACTCCTTAATATTCAATTAATTTTGGGCAAAATTGATCCAAACTGAATAACAGATAGATCTTGTTACATATCAACAGGGTGTTTCGGTGTTTCACAATTATATTTCACAATCATAGTTCAACTTAATATTTTTGTCTGGCAGGGCTAGTTGATTGCAGATGTTATAGACATCATACTCTCTCAGGTTTATAAGATGAATAAATTGCCTGCATAGAGGGACTGGAGGCTTCTTAATGGTGATTTTGCACAAGAGTTGAAATGTTGTAGCGATCAATTAAAATTAGATGAATATTGATTCCAGATATTTTTCATTATTTTGGCTTTGTGACAGTTCTCTGCGTCGTGGTTTTGTCAGTGGAACTTGATTGGAGTTGTCAATTGAAAACATTGAAATAGAAGCAGATTAAAAAAACAAATTTTTGGTTGCAGCCGTCAAGGTTTCCTATTTCTCGATTTCTTAACCTATTAGTTTTTACAGCTTTGATGATGGAATTTAATGTCTCGACACAAAAATGATGAAATTGTAAGATATAGGCGACTATACCAAATGTTTCTGTTAAATTGCTGACGGAAAATTCACTCGCAGCGATTATTTAGATCAATCTTGTGCAGTGGTTGAAGCGTCGTAATTGGTATAATCCATTTGTCCATTTTTAAGAACGATCCGAGTGTTTCTTTTCAGAACTGAACTTGATCCGGAGTTATGGATGGCTTTATTGCAATTTGTTTTTCAATAGTTTTAGGGTATTCGTCATTGATTGTATTTTTTTCAGTTCAAAATGTTTTTGTGGTGATGTCATATTGTGGCTGATGTTGCTTGGGATCAAAATACATGATTTACAGTAAATTAGCGTCTAGCTGAAGTTCATAATGAATTTTACGGTTCCTACATGGCGGCAAAGATCATTCTGATGGGTTTAATTAAGCGCACCGTAGATGTATGAGTTTTTTCACCCAGCCTTGAGGATAGATCAAATTGTTTTACCTTATTAACGTTTTTCATTACACATGCGACTTTTTCAAGTTGATTTTTTATTGAATTTTTCATGTTAACAACTGGTTTAGCAAAATCACTGAATGATATCATCAGCAGACATTTGGTCAGCATATACATGTTGAGTATATCTGCATTTTTACTCTAGCGATTATTTTGTCCTTACTTGTTTTCCAATTTACTTCGGAAATAAATGTGCTCGTTTGTGGCACTTTTGCTAGAATCACGATTGGTAGCTATTGGAGTTTTATTGCATCTGATCTCTGCTTTATATGTGGCTAGTGTTTGCCGATCATTAAGCGTCCGTGGCTTAGAGGTAAGGAAGTGATACTCCTAGTGTTTCTCGATAGTGTTTGCAAAGCGCAGCTTCGCCTCTGTGTAATTGATGCTCCCCGTTCTAATTTTAAGCGGAAATTAGTATTCATGCTGGCTGTAACAAATTTTGAGTTTTTGTTTTGCTGACCTTCGTTTTTTTTTTTGCTTTTTTTCGCTTCGTGTTTATTCAGCCTTAAAAATTTTGGCTAATTTTTATGGGCTTATTCGCCTCATGTCGTTTGAAGAGCGATGATAAAATTTCATTCGCGTATGTGCTCGTTTGTGGCACTTTTGCTATAATCACGATCTGTAGCAATGGAAATTTCATTGCATCTGATCTTTGAACTGTTAATGCTGACATTTCGAGGGGGATCTTTGAACAGTGTCGTTTGGTTTTGAGGGCGCTCACCGGGCTTGATTTGATTTCTTGCGGAGCTTAGCCAAGTGGAAAAAGTAAAAAAGGTTGTGTTGGTGTGTGCGTGAATATAATAAAAAGTAGAAGCAATCGGTCAGAAGCTGGCGGAGGCGGAATGGGAGGGAGGGCTTCAAATATTTTTTGCTCTGGATTGATTGCTTTTTTTCACATGCTATTCAAATGCTGGCGTTGTAGATGTAGTCAAGTGCACTGCCGGCGCAAGAGTGATATCCATCCTTTCCTGAACTTATGTTCTGTCTCGTTCTAACTTTATCTGTCTACGTCCCCAACTATCGCTTTAAGGCCATTTTCATGCCATCCATCCCATACCTATACACAGCCCACGCTTTCTCAAATCTCTAAGTAAACACACACCCGCTTTCATGACGATGAAAATGGGCTATTGCTTCCCTGGCGGCTGTCAGAGCAGTTGGCGGTAGTAAAGGGGGGGGGGGAGGGGTAGCTGACGAATATGAATGAAAGGAAGAGTGGGAGAAAGAGTTAGAAGGAGAATAACACGGGGTAACGAGGGGGGATGGGTGGGATGAAGTTAGGAAGTTGCGACTGCATGGGGCGTTTGTTTCTGTTTGTAGTTAACTACACTTTCATTTCCTCTCCCATGTTTGTCCTCCCAAGCCCCGCCCTAGTTGACCGACTACACAATTGCTATTATTGAAAAAGAATAAGGTCGTCTAATTTTGACCTTTCTGCCCGAAATTTAAAAGCACGCACAGTTTAAAACTCTTACTTAGGTGCAATAAAAACTGGATCAATTTTTAAGGACGATCAATTAAGAAGTTTGAATGGAATATAGTTAAGGCTTAGTCATATGTGAAGTGTAAAAATTAATCTCAACTGTCATTCTCAACGGGGTCATGTCAATTGATGACATTTGCTTCGCAGTTCAGATTGCATTGTCACCTGTTGAAACTGATTGATAAGTTGATGAAAGCAGCCGTTGGTGAAAACAGACGGAATGGATTAATTTGTACAGGATCCAAAAAAGTGCGTATTAGCTTACACATGAACATTTTTCTCAATTCTGGTGCTATATAGTTTGTGTGATTGCATAATCAGTTCGATTTGTTTCACTCGTATCGCATTCGCACCTTCACTCAATTTTAGTTCGGAAACTTGTTCGATAGAACTGCCACTGTTTCTCATGTTCCTTTAATATTATATCAGGTGTTTGTGAACTTAAACTTGCATCTCAACCGTGCTGTTCTGTGTATATTGCGACTGTCGTCTCCTCGTCTATAAATAAATAATAGTTGTGTGCCGGGCGCATTGACCAAGCTTAGTTTTATATTTTCTGTCGTCTAAAAGCGGAAGCGAAGTGCAGTTCTTTTTCAACTCTCCTGAGTTAGAATATCTTCCATTTTCATTTTCATTGACCTTATGTGCAATTATAACTGTAATGATCACAATTAAAGCAATCTTAATTAGCAGTCAATTTACCTCTTAGTTACGTTTGTTCTACATTTCAGTTTCTTTACCAAATTAAATCAGATTAAATTTGTACCAAATTTTCAATTTTTGATGAATTAATTCAAATATTTAAAGCCTTGTTAGTGTCAACTGCAGTAGCCGAGTCAAGTAGGTGCAAAGAGTTCGGGTACCTCCCTATCATCGCCAACCCATGCGTTTTCAAGTTACCCAATCCTTGGCTGCCGTATATGTTATATATTGACATCGGGAGAAGGAGCCCCTTTAGAATCATTAAACAAAGAGAAAAGGGGCCTTAAATGTTAAGGGTCCACCTCTTGGTCCTTTGGAAAAATTAGGGAGCCACCCTTTAAATAGACGTCTCCTCATTAGGATTTTGCTGAGCAAAGTTCAGCTATAGGCCGTTTTATGCTTATATTTTGATGCCGGTACAGCGGGTGGGTATGTATATTTCGAATGTCTAAGATCTTTGGAAATTGAACGCTCTATAATTTGTCCCTTTTTCAGGTAGTGTTCAGGTAGGGGCTAGGTCTTTTACCAGACTGACCTTTTACCAGACGACTTTTTACTAGACCACAATGCAATAGTTCAATTAAGTGGAAGATTCGAAAAGGAAGCGGTTAGAACAAACAAAACTTCGCTGAGAAACCGTGAAGTCATTGTCTTTACCCAGACTAAACGGCGTCATTACATCTTTTGATCAAATTTGTTTATCGAGTCTGGTAAAAGGTCCATCTTATAAATTTTCTGGTGACAGGTCGGTCCCCCTTCAGGTCCTGCACAAATTGAGCGTCTGTTTTTTTAGCTGCAGATCAAATTTGACATTGAATCTGAACCTAATGTTTTCATACTTCGGAATAAAGTAACTTCTGGTTTCTTCCAACAAGTCCCATCTAAAACCAACCGCCTGCATTTATTTCTAATTAAACACATTTTGGCCAACTGCGATTAGTTTTTTTTTGTTAGCAGCTGAAGTAAATAAGTTGCGGTTGTGTTGATTCGCATTCCGTATTTTTATCTTTCGTTAGGAACCTCTGGTATAGTGATGGACAAATGAGTACGAACAATGGCGGACGTCCTCGGACTGTGCTACGTGGTATATCTCCTTCGTTTATCTCTTTTTCAGATTAATGAACGTAGTGAGTACTCTTATATAGGTCTTGCTGATTTTTTTTTCATGAAAAAGTCTCTAAGTTTGTTCACGCTCAATTTTGATTTTTCGCGGTTGGACTTATGATTTCTTGAAGTTCAGTGCATTTTTATTGTTAAAAGCAAGGTAATTTCAACTAAAGAACAGCAAAATTGTAAAGGCCACGATAAACTTAATCGACTGCTAATTTCGAAAATGGAAATTAATTATCAGATTTCCCAGCGAAATAAAAATTTTACCTATTGATTCAATTTTCTCAAATTGGGTTAATTTTAACAAAAAGAGTCTCAATCATAAATTTTTCTAGGAGTTCAAAGAGCTTTTGGGCTATCAATTTTTTCTCGGAAAATCGAAAGTTTAAATTTTTCAAAAAACAAGTCAGATTTTTTTCAGTTTCCTTGC